GAATTCGAGCGAAGTCCGCCATGCTGAAGCAGTAAGTCTGGTTGGCCAGACGGAAAAGCATATGGGCGTCTTCTATCGAGCCATCCTCAAGACAGACTGGCTCGATAGAAGACGCCCATATGCGTTTCCGTCTGGCCAACCAGACTTACTGCTTCAGCATGGCGGACTTCGCTGAGATACTCGGGGTTCCACAGAGAACCACGAGTATGTGGCCAGACATCCCCACAGAGGCATACCATCAGTTCTGGAGGACTATTGCATCGCAGGATGCATCGAGGGGAAAAGGGAAGTCTACTGGATCAGGCATCCAGCGGTACGATACCTGCACATGTTTATGTCCGGAGGTCTGTTTGCTAGAGGAGATCAGGGTAATGTCACGACCCTGGAGGTATGTTTGCTACGCCGAGCACTTAGAAACGCATTTGATGGCGATGATTGGGGGATGTCGGAGCTAGACGTAGCATCTAAGGTGGTTCTACACATTCATTGGAGCGTGGACGGGTGACATCGTATCCATGATCACTCGGAGATTGGGGATGAGATGGGGCGCTATCGACGGTCCTACAGAGCTGGATCTAGAGACTTTCTTCCTGAAGAGAGCTATCGAGAACCCAGCCCGCACTCGATACGCATGGAAGTATCTGGACGAGAACGCCATGCCACAGACAGTCACTTTACCCACGACCGAGCTACCCCTTTTGACTATCGTGGGATTACACTTCCGAGTGTTACCGCAACAAGCCCCGAGGAGACGCCAGCCGGACCCTCTTGCCCCTCATCCAGACCACGGGACTACTGGGGATCTCCCAGAGCACGACACACCAGCTGAGGAGCCAGTTGAGCACATCGCCGAGCCGAGCTAGCCTAGATTGAGCCGCAGGAGACACCGAGAGCTTCTTCTTCATCGACATCAGCTACTCGGGCAGATATCCACGGGTTGTAAGACATGATACTCCGTCAGTTCAGCGCCATGAACACCCGATTCGACCACCTGGAGCAACGGATGGACACTGAGGAGCAACACATGAGCTCCCTAGAGGAGTTAGTGGCGTCCTTGCTTACAGAGACAGATCCACCGCCACGCCGTGCGACACCACCACCGACCGCATGGACACTGAGGATGGAGCCCAATAGAGCTCCTGGACAGATGTATCAGGATCATCTTTTCTTTCTTTTTCACTTTTTCTGCATTTTGGGACCTCTGACTTGAGTTGTTATTTTGCTATGTTGTCTCGCATGCTTGACTGTTATCGGATTCACTTGATCTTTCTTTGTTTTAAACTCTTATCTAAGGTTGAATCCCGACTTGGAACAAAAGACAACACACTATGTGGAATACTTCAAAAGTGGAATGCAAGGAGGCATATTTCAACCTTAGACACCAAGGTTACACATTAACCCTTTTCCACTTCGGTCCAATTCTTTCATATTCCACCCTTTCGCATTTGAGTGACACCGCAGACGGTGTCTCATTCAAGTATGGGGGGTGAGCATCTAACCTTGGTGCAAGCCCCTTTTAGGATGCATTCATACACTCACTTGCATATAAAAAAAATCATCATTCTTCTCTCACTATAGATGCATCCCACACTTGCATTCCTTGCATTTGTACATATACACATCACCTAGTCTTGCATTGCATTTGTTACATATAGGTCTAGATCATATAGGAGCATATGCATTTCATAAACCGTTTTGAGTTGAGATTGATCGTTGATGAGATGATGGTGATAGCTGCTTAGAAATTGCTTAGCGATTTGGACTTAGACCTCTAGGTGTTCGAGTAGATTGTCGATGATAGGTGAATAGCGAACCCTCTCTTTGATGCTTGCGATTCTAGGTTGTGGGGTAATAGTGTTGTCTTTAGGTATGCCAAAGAGTAGGACTGACCGAACCCAGATTAAATATCTCCCCAAAAACTGTTCCCGAAGCCTCTCCCATAGGATAAATAGTCTCTTAGAAAGAATGTTATAGGAATAAGCGAAGAAAGTATATACATCCCAACGCTCCATTGTCACTATATCGTTAATGAAAATCATTCGATGACATGAGTGCGTCGAAATTCGACGGTTCGGGTCTAAGTTGTGGGACAAGTGTCATGATCATTAGAAAAAAACAAAAGTGGAGACACTTGTCAACTTCAACGTCCTATGAACTCGGGATACTACTTCTCTTAGCATTCTCTTAAAGAAAAAAAGAGAAAGAAAAGAAAAAAATAAATGAAGAGACAACATATCTTAGAGGAGAAAGAAGGTAAATAGGTTTAGGAGAGTGCTTGGAAGAAGGAATTACTCTTATGGTAGATTAGGGACGACATAGAAACCTCATACTTAGGAAAGTTTAGCTAACAAGAGAGAATAGCTAGAGTAGCCTAGATTCGATTCTACTCCCATAAGTTGAGCAGTGGGCAGACATCTAGATCTTGAAACTCATCAAAGATCGATCTCTATCTCACCGTCCTTCTCTATTTTATTTGTTCGAGGACGAGCAAAGATTTAAGTCTGGGGGGATTTGATGGCTCGGATTTTATCTGGATTTTATACGAGTATGCCCTTGGTTTCTAAACGGTTTCCACGCACTCTAGGCATATTAGAGCCATCTTTAGATCTCTAGGACTAGGTTTTGACCATTGCAGGAACCCGAGGGGACATCGAGAGTTTTCGGGATTAGCCCTCATGTAACGATGCTTGTATTCACCTTTGGACCCAAGATTGTGCTTAGTTTAGGCTTTCAAACTCTTGCATTAAATGGAATTTTGTTCTTCATGATTATCTCTCTTGAATAAATGTTTAGGGAGACCTAAGATTTATTGAATTGGGTGATGCAATTGCTTGGGTTTTGATTGCTAGAGGTTGATGAATGATGTTTAATGTTACCCATTGGATGAGAATCTTGTGGGTAGATTTTAGGATTGTCAATTTCATGGAGACATGGGTTCTTGGTTCTTTGATGCATTTACTCAATTGGGTTGAAATTGAACACGAAGAAATTCGGTTCGAATCAATCTAGGATTATAACAAGGGTGTTTAATGCATTCGGAGTTTCACTCTAGACCCCGAAAGTGGATAGAGTACTCTCTTGGATAGTGGGTATTCGACTCGAAAGAGCCGAACCCAACCTTAGTCTTCGAATCTCTCACCTTAGAACGAGCATGATCTAGGTCCATCACTCTTTACGGCATCCTTGCGTGATCGGTGAATCCCGATTCCCATAACCTTTTCCCTTTTGATTACCATCTCTCGAGTATTGCTTGGTTTGATTTTAGTTTCTCTCATTTAATTTTCTGCAACTTCCAAAACAACAAAAACAATTCCCAAATTTTATTTTCACCATTTTCCTAGTTTTAATCGATTCCTACCTTAACCGCTTAAGTCTTTGTGTTCGACCCCGTTACTACATCATCCGTATACTTGCGGATACGTTGTGTTTCGAGTTACAAATTTAAGATTCGTCACGCAAGTGATCAATACACCATTCGAGAGGACATTGATCCACAATCTCTCATGTTGAGATATACCGGATCTTGAAGAATATTATGAGATATATCAATCTTATCAAATCCGGAAAATATATATTTAGAAATATTTATTATTTTATTTAGTTTACTCATTCAATGTAAGACTATATGTTATTCTGATTATGAATAAAGATATCATTCCGTAAATTTCTATATGGTATCAGTGCTTATGGTTCTTTTCTAATTTTTTTTCTTCATAAAAATGATGGTTGATAATGAGAGTGAAGATGAAGATGATGATATACCGATCCAGTGGTAATATCATTTCGAGTTTTTTTAAGAATAAGAGAGTCATTTTATTTGTTTTTTTTCTCTCATAATCCCATATGTTTCTAAAGATTATTCGCATAACCGCCAATCATTTTATTCTTGCCAAAAAATTTGTTGTCATTAAACGCTTCCGTGTAGTTGCCTTTCAATCTCGGATGAATCAGAGTTATTCCCGAGACTTCTTTCTGCACCGCGATTGTCGTCCTTTTTTTTGTTATCATCAAACGATTCTTTTGTGCGTGGTGCCAAAGTTGCAGCGCAATCGTTTGTTTGATTTTTTTTAGTTATGTCTTCTAAGACACAAGTTCGCAAGGTGATTTGGTTCAAGCGGCATGCGTTTGATCATCTTTTCAGCAAGTTGGGCGTTTCGTGATCTTCCACGCTCCAACTTGAAGGGGGATGTTGAGTTATACCGGATCTTGAAAAATATTACGAGATATATCAATCTTATCAAATCCGGAAAATATATATTTAGAAATATTTATTATTTTATTTAGTTTACTTAATGTAAGACTCTCATCTATTTATATGTTATTCTGATTATGAATAAAGATATCATTCCGTAAATTTCTACATCTCATTCCTAGGGGAACACGTATTACCTTGTAATTGTTGGGAAATATTCATTTATTGGTGTTTGATCTCAAATTTTGTTCTCCTTTGCGAAAAACTTGCCATTTTTAACATTTTTTTTTTCATGCCCAATGTAGCGTGATGACAAAGGTTATGCACATCCAGAACGGGTTGAGAAGCTTGTGAAAAACTATTCTCAATTTGTTTCGTTCCCCATATGCACTTGGCAGGAAAAAGGGCACACAAAAGAGGTATGGTAATCAGGATTAGAGATGTAGATTTTGTCATGGACTGAATATCAAGTTACCCTATCAGGGTGTATGTATATGTGTATATATATATATATGTTTTTAGGGTTGGATGACTACTAAGTTTCTTAGCTCACTTAGCTGGGTCATATTTATACAGATCGAAGTTGAGGAGGATCCAGCTGAAGCAGCAATAGATGACCAGGGTGATAAAACTGAGGTATACCTGCTTTTCTGTGCCTAGCTTTACAACATCTTGCTCAGTATTACAGAAAAGCTGGCTTTTGATGGAAAGTTTGGCTAAATGTTAGATGAACTCTTTCTTATGTCAAGAAAAAGAAGACCAAGACTGTTGTTGAGAGATACTGGGATTGGGAGCTTACCAATGAGACACAACCCATATGGGTAAGGATTGCCACATGGGTATTTTCTGGAAACTAAGAATCAAGAATATATAAAGACAATTTATGCTGCAATTTTAATTTTTTTCAGCTTCGGAACCCTAAAGAGGTGACCACAGAGGAATACAATGAGTTTTATAGGAAAACCTTCAATGAGTATTTGGACCCATTAGCTTCCTCTCACTTCACAACAGAGGTATTTATATGAATTTTATGCGAAATGTGTTTTTTTTAAATGATCAACAGATCCAGATTCCTTTAGTTTTTTTTTGTTGGAAAACAGATAAATTCTGTTTCAAGATTGTAATGTTTCAGTTCTCCAGATTCTTCATCTGATAATGTAAGCAATGTAAGTTTAGGTCCATCCTTTATGTGCCGGCTGTCTCACCAGTCACCAATGGGGAAGGATGACTTGGTTAATCCAAAGACAAAGAATATAAGGCTTTATGTTAAACGGGTTTTCATCTCAGACGATTTTGATGGAGAACTGGTGAGAAAGATTCTCTTTTGCAGCATGACAGATATCCGCAAGGAAACCGGAATTTTGTTCGCCTTGCTAATGCCGTCCCCCCTTTTGTGTATTTGGTGTCTTTTGATTGACAGTTTCCTCGCTACTTGAGCTTTATTAAGGGTGTTGTTGACTCAAACGATCTTCCACTTAATGTTTCTCGTGAGATTCTTCAGGAAAGCCGCATTGTAAGTGCTATTTGTTCCTGTTTTGAGATAAAACTTTCATGACAAGATGTTTCTATCTCTTCTTGGTATGGGTTCTGACTTGGTCTCACGGTCTCTTTAAAGGTACGGATCATGAAGAAGCGTCTGGTGCGAAAGGCTTTCGATATGATTTTGGGCATATCCTTGAGTGAGAAGAGAGAAGTATGCATCAGTCAGCTAATGTTGTCTTGTTGTGGCTTTCTTCTTGGGATGAGAATGACATTGTCAGCCTCTGCTTGCAGGATTATGAGAAATTTTGGGATAATTATGGAAAGCATCTGAAATTGGGATGTATTGAGGACCGTGAAAACCACAAACGTATAGCCCCGTTGCTTCGGTTTTTCTCCTCCCAGAGTGAGGATGAGATGATCAGCTTGGATGAGTATGTCGAGAACATGAAACCCGAACAGAAAGCCGTCTATTACATTGCTGCTGACAGTGTTACAAGTGCCAGGAATACACCTTTCCTAGAGAAGCTTCTCGAGACGGATCTCGAAGTATATGCCATTCCCACCCGAAAAAAAATGGCTACGAAATCTGTTTTTTAGGTTAGATATGAGACTCTTTCTGGTTTTTGTTATTGTAGGTGCTCTATCTGGTGGATCCAATCGATGAAGTTGCTATACAGAGCTTGAAATCTTACAAGGAGAAGGACTTTGTTGACATCAGCAAGGAAGACTTGGATCTAGGCAAGCTCATTGTTGTGCTTCCTGGCATATAATCTCACAGTGGAGCAAAAACTAACACATATAATCCCTTACAGGTGACACGAATGAGGAGAAAGAGGCAGCCATGAAGGAGTTTGGGCAGACATGTGAGTGGATTAAGAAGTGGTTGGGTGAGAAGGTTGCTGGTGTTCAAATCTCCAACCGGCTAAGCTCGTCCCCTTGTGTTCTTGTGTCCGGGAAATTTGGTTGGTCGGCGAATATGGAGAGGTAAGTTCGGTTCTAAGCTACTTTCCTCTGTCTTTTCTAGAACATTGTCCTGTTTCCTGTGATCTCAATCTGTCTTCTCTGACAGGCTAATGAAAGCACAGACAGTGGGTGACACATCGAGCCTGGAGTTCATGAGAGGGAGGAGGGTGTTTGAGATCAATCCCGACCACCCGATTATCAAAAACTTAACTGTACTCAAACTGCATCTGCCTCTTATATGAGTGATATATAGTAATATATTGATTCTGAATCGTTGAATCTTGGAATGGATTTTTCCGGTAGGCTGCACATAAAAGTAACCCAGACGATGAAGATGCGGCGAGAGCCATAGATCTTCTGTATGATGCAGCCGTGGTATCTAGTGGGTTCACCGTGAGTATCTCTATCTCTTCTTACAGCATTTGCTTTTGTCTCGGCAAGAATGAAGTTTGGAACTTGAACCTGTTGATGTCATACAGCCTGAGAATCCAGCCGAGCTTGGTGGGAAGATATATGAGATGATGGGGATGGCCCTTTCGGGGAAATGGTCGAGCCCTGAATCCGAGCAGCCGACGGCCGAGCCACTGGAAGTTGAAGTGGCTGGAGGGGGGGGGAGCCACTGGAAGTTGAAGTGGCTGAAGTGGTGGAGCCAGTTGAAGCCTGTGGGCAGAAATGAATACAATGCTCATATTCTTGTTCTTCTTTAAGAGGAGAAGAAAGGGGAAAAATATCTGAAATCTAAATCAGATTATTATTATTATTATTATTATTATTATTATTATTATTGTTGTTGTTGTTGTTGTTGTTGTTCTTTTTTTCAGAAGAGAATGTAAAAAAATGTTCTTCCTTGATGTGCCGATTGGTGTAATATTTAGTGTAATCTCTTGGAAATATCGTATTCGATTGGTGATATTTAATCCGTCTGGATGTACCGAAATGATCCAATTAGAAATTCTTGGCTCAATTGCAATATCTATATATTTATTGGGTCGAAATGCGGGAGATAGAACATTTTGGGGCTTATCCCGGATTTCCACCCTAAACAGGGACTTTGAGCGTTTGCGATTTAATGAAATCGAATATGGCGGTCGGATATGGGTAAGGATTCGGTTCGGTTCTGGTCATTACGGAAAATTTGGTTTCATGTGGGGTAAAACTATTAGAATGACAAATATCGGGGCGTGTGTGCAATATTCTTGAAGTTTTTAACGCGTATAAACAGTTTAGCATGTGGGCTGTACAGAGCAACCTCGATCTATTTGTTCCACCATTCGTCTTCGTTCCTAAATAAACCCTAATTTCTGTATTTTCGTTCGGAGTTTTGTCGATTTCGAAATTCGGAGTTGGGGTTTTCTGATTCAAGATGCTTCGATCTCCCGGTCATTCTCCGCTGCAGATATCTTCTCCGTCTCCGTCGTTGTATTCCGATGACGCCGTTAGCACAACCCCTGGAAGTTCTTCATCGGCGATCACGCCGCACAACCATAGGAAGCGACCGAGGGTCCTCAACGAAGACACGTACGTTGCAGCCATCGAGAAGATCATCGAGCGCGATTACTTTCCGGATATATCAAAACTTAAAGATAGGCTCGATTGGATCCAGGCGGTGAAAACCGGCGACCCAGTTCAAATCCGAGATGCTCAGTTGAAGATTATCGAAAGGCGTGGCAAAAAGGTGAATCGCGGGGACACTGATGGTAAAACTCAAACTCCTGGATCTACTTTCGTGAGAAATTTCACTCCGTTTGATGATTTCGATGGCAAAACCCCTAGAACTCCAGGAGTTTCTGGTGTAGATTTGGGTGGTATTGAAGAAGGTACTGATGATGGAGATGTAGATGTTGATATGTCCTTAGACCAGTTCTTTAGAAGGTTTACAAGTGAGGATAATGATAGTTTCTCCAAGATTCTGGAGAAGGTGAACAAGAAGAAGAAGGAGAAGTTTGGGCATCTTCTTGAAGGTGAAAAGGAAGATGTGAAATCGATAGAAGATGCAAAAAGAGACAGGATTACGGATGGGTATGGGACATCGTATCAGCCACCAAGCACCTTAGAAGGATGGAGATATACGGCAAAGAACTTGCTGATGTACCATCCATCTGATCAGGGTGAGGCACCATTAACTGAAGAAGAAAGAGCGGTGAGGTTGCAGGGTTTGACAAAGGAAATTAACAAAGGAAACACCCGTTTTCTTGGCAAGATGATGGATTCAAGGCCAAAGGATGATGGTACAGTTGAGATTCTATATACTCCCATTGCAGGTTCTTCTCCTATGCCTATGTCAGGAAGGCAGGGAGAAAAGTCTAAGAGGTATGATCTCGAAGATTTGAGGAAAACTCCAAACCTTTTCTATGCCGAGTCAGATAAGAAGGCAGAGAACGGGTATAGATTCGTTAGGACACCATCCCCTGCACCGGGTGTTGATGAATCGCCGATTATAACATGGGGTGAAATCGAAGGGACACCGTTGCGGCTGGATGACGAGGACACACCTATCGATATCGGCGGCAGTGCTGATGGTCCACGGTATAATATCCCTTCTGCACCTGCCCGAGACGTGAAGGCACATTCTATGTCAAGGGAGGCATCACGAAAGCTGAGAGAGAGGTCCAACAGTATGTTTAAGAAACCTCCTTTGCCTTCCCCTCATCGCAGCGGAAGTGCCAGTCCAAATGTCAGGACACTTTCACCCGCTGCCCAGAAGTTCTTCAGACGGGCCATTGCCAAATCCTCGTCTTCCGTTGATGAGAGCCTCCGTGCGAGTTACCGAGGAGCAAGTCCCGGTGCGGTCACTCCTAAGAGCGTGAGGAGCGCCTCGAGGTTCGGCAGAGACTCGAGCTTGGGTTCAAGGTCGCCTTCCGTAAAAGATGGTCCTAATCAGCCGTGGTAATATGCTTTTACAAACGGTTGTGTGACATTTCTGGTGTTGTTGTGAATGTTGACATGCCAACAATAATACAATACTAGTTAAGCTTTTATGAGACACATATATATATATATATATATATCTTTTGCCATGTTCTTCTTCTGTATTCTTAACTTGCAGCTTCTTTGTTGGTGTTTTCCCCTTTTATTTTTCGTTTTACCTCTAACGTTACAAAGTCCTCACATTCACAATGCGTATGGGAGTTAGTGTTAGAAAGAGCATTTAGTGAGAATTAAGATGCTAGTGATTGTTATTATGTTCAAAGAGAGAGCTATTGTTGCCTAACAAATGTCCTTCTACTTCTTTGCTGTACTCGACCACGGCCATGAAAAATGCACGACTAGAGCTATTGGTTTATCTTCTTTTGCTCTGCGAGTTCTTTGATGCAAAATAGGAGCTATCTATATGAAACCCCGGTAACGTGTAGATCAAGGCACCCACGGAGACGATATATATATATATATATATATATAAGGAGAATTTCAGACACGAACTGTAATACAAATGGAAATGACAGTGACAATAAAATTGTTTCTATAACATGAGAGTACGTCAACAAAACATACAGAAGAAAAAAGAATCCGCAAAAGAAAGTTATAAAAACTCATTATTCTCACGAGGAAACCCTAAATGGGCGATTGTCTCTTTTACCCACACTGCCAAAATAAAAGAAACAACCCAGAAAACAAAACATCCTCTGATACAATCTCCCTGAAACACAAACCTGAAATAATCCCCAAGAAGATGATGAAGCCGAAAAGGCTTGACAGACAAGAAACCCAGAACTTTGGCAAGAACCATCGCAGGAGCTTGAAGAAGATCCAGGTGAAGGAGAAAGGAAATGAACAGCGAAGAAGGAAGAATGACTTTTCAGCTCTTTTTCTTCCCATATCTATATGTATTCCCTGCCTCGCCGGAGATGCATGATACAGTTCTTCTGACTCTATCCGGCAATCCGATTTTACATATCCCTCATGAAAAGATCTAAAAAAAAAAACAGAGGAAGAAACCTAGAGGTAAAATGAATTCATAAAACCAAACGCTGACACAAAATTTCCCAGGATTTCTAATGCCTAAAGTTTTAATCTTTTGCCCAGAAACAGAAAGATACTCTGGTTAGCTCTAAGATGGTGAAGAAGTTTCTGTCCTGTGGGTGCGTATATATATGGAGAGGAGAGGATATAAAAGATTTGCCTCGTTTCACCAACTATATCGTGGTAGAACCAAAACGAATGTACTAAGTCGCAATTCCTGCAACAAAAGTGAAAACAGCGGAAACTCGGATGAGAATGGAGCGGTCTGCAAGTGGGTTTTCATGAAAAAAAAAGGCTTCTAAGATGTTCCTGAGAATTTTCAACAAATGCCATAGTTTCCTCAGACTTTATTGCATAAACCCTATAAGAATTTTCTTGTGAGCATGCAAAACGATTTGGAACATTGTTTATGAAAGCAACCTTTCTTTTGCATATTTTAGAGACATTTTCTCAGCACAACACAGCCATGAACTCAAAAGGGTTTTTAAGGCAAGTCCTAGACAATAAACCACAATATAAGCCCATATATCTAAATGCTGTGTAATAGTTTAACTCAGACATACCTCTGTTTGATTGCCTCTTGTTAACACTATAATCACCGATGTAGCCCGGGAGGGACGGAGTTTTAGCCGACGCGTCTGAAGGATCACCTCCGATCCCATAACCAAAGGAGCTTGAATCATTCTCAGAAGTCGAAGATCTCCAAGTGGGATCACCACCATAAAAATCTGCATCATAACCACTGTTGGTAGCCGAGGCTGAAGAGAATGATGATGAAGCCGGTGCTTTACTAATTCCGATATTTCTTCCATACCCTCCTCCTGCTCCTCCCAACCCAAAGCTAGATTCACCATTGCTTCCATATCCAAATCTCACATTTTCATTACTTACATTATTTCCACCACCTTGACCCCAATTGACTCCAGAACTTCCTAATGGACCATTTAGTGTGTTCCCACTGCTTGATCCGACATATGGATTGGAACTAGTGTTGGCAGAATTGCTATGGTTAAGGCCCCCATTTGCCCACAGGTTCCGAGTGACTGAGCTGAAGAAGGACGAGTTCCCTCCATTGCCTCCGTCATACCCAACTGCAGAACCAAGCCTGTTCGTGTTACCAATATAGTATGGACTCATTCCTCGACCATAGTTGGCATTTCCACTGAAATTTGCAGAGCCGGTAAAGCCAGTGGGGGGAATTCCCTGCTCAAAGTTCAGAGACACACCATAGTCAGAACCGAAAGGAGCGAAACCACTCCTTCCACCAGCTGCTGGATTGAAGCGACTGTCCATCCTAAGTCCATAGCCTCCAATTGCAGCAGGATTATATCCATTAATAAGGAGGTTATTGACCCGATTAACACCATAGTTGTACCCTCCCATTGGACTGCGACTTGGACCCGGTGACAACTCCTTTGGAACAGCTCGTTTAACCTCAACCATTTTACCGTTAAGTTCGTGAAATGTCTTCAGCAAAACTTTCTCCACGGCCTCCTCAGAATCGTAAGTTATAAATCCGAAACCTCTAGGCCTTTGTGTGTTGTGGTCATACATAACAACAACATCTGTAGTTGTCCCAAACTGTTGGAAATACTTTTTGAAATCACTTTCTGTAACCGAAGATGGTAACCCTCCGACAAAAATCTTTCTTGTCCGGCCTGGACCTGGTGAACCTTGTATGCTGCTACTCTGGTTGCTTCTACTTATAATGTTCTGATCATCTCTAGGAACAGCTCTTTTTGCCTCAACCTGAAAAGATTAAACACCGAAATGTCTTCAGATGCATTAGAGAAACTTCAGAAACAATTTATGGAAAATATGAGGATTTAGCGCATCAATGACTGACCATTCTCCCATCAATATTGTGCTTCTCCTTTATAACTCTCTCTGCAACGGCTGGATCTGCAAACACTATGAACCCGAAACCACGGGCACGTCCAGTGGTACGATCCTTCATGATCACTGCCTCGATCACTTCCCCGAAGCTGCTGAAATACTCCTTGAGACGTTCCTCATTGGTGTCCCACGATATCCCGCCGATGAAAAGCTTGCCATTGTCAGATTGCATCTTGCTCCCTTCACCCCAAAATTCAACTTCTTATGACTGAACAAGACACAGTTCACAACCGGTAAAATTGGAGAAAGGGTTAAGACATTTGCAGATCAAATCTACCGGAGCAGTTCTACTTTTCGGACATACAAACAGATGAATCAGATTCAAGAACGAAACCGGCAGGTGAAACCGGAACAAAGGCAATACCTTTGCGATGCGTAAAATAAATCAGAAACGCAGATTTCGTATCTGGCAACGATGGAAAAACCTCCTCGATTCAATCCAGAAACAACAGATCCTTCACCAAGCAACAAACGAACTCATGATTAATCTAATCTGCCGGAGAATTGATCGGAAACAGAAGGAGAGAAAACAGATTCCGATACCAAGATATTGATCAATCCACATCAATCCGAATCCCAGATTGGCAAAAGATCAGAGAATCAAATCCAAACTCACCAATCGGACAAAACCCAGATGCCAAATCTCGCCGAGAAAACGCTAAGATCTGAAGAGGCACGCGATTGGACCAAAGGGCATGATGAATCCTGCCCCTTCCTCAGAAAGAAACTTTTTTCCAAGGACAAAAAAAAAACAGGAACCCAGAGTAGAAAAACAGATTATGCGTCTTTGTTCAATTTCAATGGCGTCAACAAAAAAAAATTGTATTTTTAACAACGCGCTCTTTGATAGAGAAACAGAGCAAACATACGTTCTTAGAGATAGAAAGAGACGAAAAAGCTTTTGCTCGGTTTGGTGCAAGACGAAGATATAATCTTTATATATGAATACCGTAATATTAATATACGTGGGGATACGTATAACAACATAGCATACAAAACCACAATACAATACAAGAAATGTGCTTATGTAAGAAATGGGGAAGGTTGGTGTTTTGCCCTCGCTTTATTACATGAAAAAAAAAAAAAGAGATATTTTTATATGGGAGAAATTTTTTTAAAAATAATCTTGGTGAGGAAGAAGATGAAGGGAAATTAGAAAATCAGAATTATTCAAAAAAGGACAATAGAATTTTTTTTTTTTTTTTTTGGTTTCTTACAAAGGGGATCAGATTGATGATGTTGGGAAATGGCTTCGTCCGCCCAATTGGTTCATGTTTTTCTGTATCAGATGACAAAGAGACGAGCCCACTGTATTGTTTTTCTGCAAAGGCCCTTTGGTCCTCCTCTCCCGGCCTTCAAATGTTTCTTAAAAAAAAATTTTTAGATATTTTTTTTTTTTTTGCAAATGTTATGAGATTCTGAATCTCTTTTTTTTAAAAAATTATTAAATCAAAGCTTATTGCTCTACAAAGAGAGAGGCTTTTGTTTGCCGCATCCTCGAACACACCGGCTGAGAAAGAGGGTTACTCACTCCGGAAACCTTCTGTCTTAGAAAGCAATTAGAAAATCAGAATTATTCAAAAAAGGACAATAGAATTTTTTTTTTTTTTTTTGGTTTCTTACAAAGTGGATCAGATTGATGATGTTGGGAAATGGCTTCGTCCGCCCAATTGGTTCATGTTTTTCTGTATCAGATGACAAAGAGACGAGCCCACTGTATTGTTTTTCTGCAAAGGCCCTTTGGTCCTCCTCTCCCGGCCTTCAAATGTTTCTTAACAAAATATTATTAGATATTTTTTTTTTTTTTGCAAATGTTATGAGATTCTGAATCTCTTTTTTTTAAAAAATTATTAAATCAAAGCTTATTGCTCTACAAAGAGAGAGGCTTTTGTTTGCCGCATCCTCGAACACACCGGCTGAGAAAGAGGGTTACTCACTCCGGAAACCTTCTGTCTTAGAAAGCGGGTCCGGCGAGTGAGAAAATTAATTAAAATTTTCTTCTGGAAAACGTTTTCCCTCCAAAATTTGAAAATCACCGACCTCTCCGGAAAAAAAGCGCCGCCTCGAAGAACCTTCTCCTCCACTCTTCTTCCATCCTCAATCTCTGAATCTGCGTGCGTGTACGTACATACATATACACAAACATATATATATATGTATACACATTCGACGCGAGATCTTCACATCGCTCCAGTCAGCAGGATCCGAATCTCTCTTTCTCTGAATTCTTGCCTCCCCATCCTCTGAGGACTTCCCAGAGCTGGCTTCCATGGCTTCTCACAAAGCTTTGCTCTTACGCAGTTCCCGTCGACGGTGAGTCGGTGACCCCGCCGGAGATGCTGCTATCGGACAGGGTGGTCGTTGGTCCGGCACGGTTCACGTTATTGTGGGTCCCGCGTTCGCTGGAAAGTCCAAATCTCTGCTTCGCCCCATCAGGTCGAGGATCAGCGACAGTAGATAAATTTCGTCACTATTTCACTGCTTTGGACAAATCTATAAATCAGACCAAATTGTTTCTGGCATAGCAACGAAATTTTATAAAAATTTTGGGTAAACTTTTTTTACCGAATTTTAATGAACCATAGTAAAAATTCTTTCTAAATGTTAGAAAAAAAATTTGTTGTCCCGTCTCTCGTTTTCTCTTGGTCGGTGCTCGAATCGTCGGTGTAGGACCTCGGCCTCCACGGTGGAGAGCACATCTCCGTCTCGGCCATAGCCTCTATGGGCAGTGGAGAATCTGGCTGCTTCTACGACCTGTCCCCTAAGGACGAGACTGCCAATGGGTCCGAGGTCAAATCGGCGAAAGAGACAACGGTAAAGACGGGCCACCGTCTTAAATACAGAAAGAACACGCTTACACGGTAGTGAAGACCTCGTGAAATTTTTTACAAAACCGTAACCTTGTCAAATGATAATTTACACGCACCTCCACTCAAGAACAGAACACAGATGACTCGAAAAATAACAATTAGAAGGAAAAAAAAGGAAGCAAAGCAAGCACACAAGCAACGGTTGTGTATATATATATGCATCAAACCCTCGACCAGAGAAATGTGGAATAAAGGAGATATAATACCATATGGAACGAGGCAATTCCCCTCTCACAGGTTCTTCCTCAAGTACAATAGCTTCCTTGACTGTGCAGGAGGAGCCAGTCCAGGGATGTCCCTTATATCTTTGTTATTTGGGTTCACAATCTGCCATTTCAACTTGCAAAATCAGCTCAATTCACGCCCAAAGATCGGGGAAAAAAAATGGAAAAGAACAATGGCGTTGCTCACCTTCACGACAATGATGGCTATTACACCGCAAACGATGAGAAACAAGAACATCATGATGCATTTATCGGTAGCCACCTGAGGGAGATTCAGACACAGAGATTTAGTTTATTTTTTGTGGGCGTGCAAATGCAAAATAAAGGAATCTGTGTTCTTCTATAAGGCTATGGACCTGTCTTCCTATCTCTTTCACTAGCTGTGAGGCCTTCTTGATAGAGAACTGAATCGTGTCCAGATCGTTAACAATTCGTCCCATTTGATCCGTCTGCCAAAACAAAAATCTGGGTCAGTATCTTCTGGCCGTATTTGTAATAAAGATCAGGAAGTGACATGTGGTTACAATGCAATACCTGTCCCTTTAAAGTAGATGCAGCCTGTGTTCCCACTTCAACTGTTTGCTGGACAACCTGAATGCAGCAGGACAGTTAGAGTAGCAAAAAGGCTGAGCTAAAAACATGGTTCAACGCAAAATTTACCTGTTTAGAGCGTTCAATGGCCTGATCAGTCTCATCCATCTTTTTCATTCCGGCATCAATAAGTTCCTGGTTTGACATAGCTATACACAAAAATAGCATAACAATAGTTATTAGCTCCATGCTTCTCCGATCCCCTAACCGATCTACTAGACTACTACACACTGTATGCACATACAATATTCCTCTAAGCTAAAACTATTGTCTTACTATGGGAATATGCTTGAACAACAATTCTGATATCAAATAGGCCAAAGGAATAAAATTGCAAGTACCACAACAACAATCTCACCATCAAACCAAAGCGTATTTTAGTACCTATCGGATATGTTCAAGCAAACTTAACAGAGCAATTCTTAAGCTTCAATGATTCCCCAACTACTAAATGCCACAAAATGTCAAAATCGTTTTTTTTTTGTATTCAGCAAATGCATATTCCCAATCGCAACAGAAAATTCAACTGAATATACAAGCATATGCAAGAACTCACATGAAGCCACTTGGACATTCTCATCAGCCGTAGGTTCGCCACTGACTCCAGCTCCCATATCAAAAAGTTCGATTTTCTTATTGCCAAGAGTATTCAAGTATCTGAAGACACACCAACAGTCACGTAAGGAAATTCAGATTCAAATATGTTTTCCCGTAAACAAGCAACTTCCTATAAAAGTTCCATTTCAAGGAAAGCTGAAACAAATTCAAATCTAAGTACAAACTAGAGATGCTTTGTTAAAATACATGGGAGAAGTGCTTACGTTTTTCTCAGTGCTACATAAGAATTGAGTTCCTTGATCTGTTAAATCAGAAGGGAAAAGTCAAAAGCGGGATTTGAAATGAACATCAAACCAAATCCTTGCAAGAAACAATTACAGAGGAAGATTGTAAGATTCACAGAGACCACTCAAACTCTGCATATGAATTTTGTGCCATCCATATAAAAACTAATCATTATTGTCAAAAAATTGGAAACCCTATACGAGACAGTCTAAAATTGAATTTCACTGGGTAGAATCTCAAAAGATCAAAACCTTTCAGACATTTCATCAAGCAGTCTACAGAAAAGAGAAACTCACCATAGATTGTTTCTCATCGTTCAATTGCTTATTAACTTCGGGAGAATTTCTGGGTTCCTCATCCTTAAGTTCACGATCAAACTCCTTAATCAACCTGACATGAAGAACAATGTATAAGCGACAATAGATTCTCAAAAAAAACTTGAGGATACATCTCTTCTCGCAACTAAGCAGCTCATTGGTCTCAAAAAGAGAAGAAGTAACATGAGCACAGTATGACACATCGGTGTAAAGCAAACGAATCATCAAAGCATCTAAGGAGAATGCTCCCAGGACGAGCAACATTAGCTAAAGTGACGTATACAATCACTTTTTTGAAAGTGGACTGTTCAAGCAATGCAATACTTATCCTTTGTACCAATCAATAATCAAGCAACATTGAAAGCATAAAGTCAATGAGACAGCTACACGAAGCGAACCTTTTACATTCCCTCATCTTCCCAGTAAGTTCCTCGAGTTGCTTGCTTTGTCGATTTGAATCCTTGATCTTATCCAGCCTCTGGAAGCCATTCCTGCAAACGAACATAGGATGTTTCATTTAGTGCAGAGATATACGTATGCTCCCGATGATACCTCAAGCTAGCCCTCTTCAACCATACCAAAACACATACAAAATCCATTGAGCAACTCAAATTGCTTCCTGGGCATTTTAATCTTATCCAATCTTTGATTCGAGTATGGAGAAACTCCGGAGTAGCGCAACAACCCGACGTTCCAATCCGAGATTAATCCCAAAAAGGAAAAACTACGAACGAGGCATTCCAACATATATCCAACGAGCCACGGGGCCGCAACATCATAACCCAAATCATATTCGTGGATCATAATCGAGGAACGCAAAAGCAAAAGAAGTAATTGAAAACAAGGGAAAGAAGGGGGAGGAGAAAGCGTACGCGAGGGCTCGGAAGTGGTCGCGAATTTCGCCGTGGATCTGCTCAAGTTGAGGGCTCAGGGGGAGGTCGGAGGCCATGTCTGCCGGAGAATTTCAGATTCCGGCGAGCAGATACTCGGATATCGCCTCAACTGGCAAACCCTAGCAAACAAAGAGATCCTCCGGGCTAAGATTTACCGCATCCGAATCGACCCCCAAAGTTTCCGCCGGAAACAAAAAAAAAAACCTAGCTTGAAGAAACGGCCATTAATGTACAAAAACGGGAGGAAAAAAAACAAAAAAGGAGGGAGAACGATGGTCGGGGAGAGAAGGAAGGAAGAAACGGCCGGCGAAACTAAGGCGTCGAGAGGAAAAGGAAAGAGAAAGAGTGGCTGTCTGATAATTATTTGGTTGTTTGAATTATAAAATCTTTTATTTTTTTTAATAATTAAAAAAGGAGGAGAAATTAGACAGATATTCGCTGGTCAGTTCGACAGCGCAGCGACCCCGTTATTTTTTTCCCGGACCGTTAGTGTTTGGGAATTATCAGCTATTTCAGCGTTTATTAGTTACTTGAAACAAAACGACTAGACAATTGACACGTGTCATTCTATATCATGTTACTTAAGATAAAAGATATTGCTGCATATCCAAGATTTTGGGATGATTTAAAATCTAAACAATTTAAATCTTATGATTTGAAATGTGATTCTTAAATCATTCATTCACGCCATGTATGTGAATCCAGCCGATTTGTCGCATCCGCTCGCCATACCGGTCAGGTACCCTAATTCATCCGAGATTTTTGGTAGACCCGACCTGAAAACAAAATCGAGATACCCGAGATGTTCGGTATACATCATCCACGTCTCACTCGAGGCGACTAAAAAACAAACGAAGCAAATCGAAGAAGAAAGAAAATCAAATACAATAACGACGAGAGAGAGAGGTCAATCAAACTCTAACCGCACCCCTATCCCTGCAGATTATCCATCCAAAATGCATAAAACCCGATCTTCGGAAAATATAAAGAGGGCTGTGATGTGAGAGACTTACAAGGAGTCTAGTTAGGAGAGAATGATATGAGAGTTAAATCATTCGCTAAGATCGTCATCGTAGAGGCCAAGGTTGGCGTCATCGTCTGCGTTGCGAGGATGAATGTTGTCAAAAGCTTGAATGCTAATCCTATTATCTTCCTCTTCCTCCTCTTCTTCTTCGTCGTTCTCGCTATAACACTCCTCGTATTCAACGTCTTCCTCGTTCCCCCGCCCTTCCTCCTCCTCCTCCTCCCGCAATGTCTCCTACAGATTTCGGACCATTCCAATAGTCGGTAGAGTCAGACAGTACTAGATAAGATTTTGAAAAACGTACCTCATCGGACGTTGTTGTAGCGAGCCAGTCCCTCAGCAGATGCTCCAGCATGGTGCCATTGAGGGATGGTGTATCGTCCGGTGTCCGCCGCCTAAGCTGCTTCTCCCTCAGCCGCAGGTTGTAATGGACGTAGGTGAGGTCGTTAAAGGACTTCTTAAAGAAACGGCTCTGGCATTTACCCGCCATTTGGTCATATACACTCCACCTAGGCTCACACCCAAAGGACGAACACGTGTGGCTCAGTATCCGTACAGCTACTCGCTGAAGTTCCAAGCAGCTTATCCCATGCTGTTGCCACCAGGCAGCTGCCCAGAGATGATATCAGTACAATTTACAAAGTCATCCTGGCCAGTATGCTCCTTTTTGCACAAGTAACACCGATTTTACGCACCTGGGTCAAGCTCCGTTCTCGTGCCAATCGCTAGGTCCGTTCCAAAATCGGCTTTCGCAGAAGTGTAATCTGGAATCTGAGACATTCAACACGGCCTTGAGAACAGACAGTTATAATCATCAATCCCACATTAGGATAAAAACCTATCCCATCAGAAGATTCCCTAAAACATGTTAAGATGATGGAGCACGAATGTGAGATTAGTTCATCACCTGCATCAATGCAGTAACTCTTCTGATATTATCAGGCTCAAGCCGGACAATGCATTCGTTGACACCACGTACAACCTCAGAATGCTGCGGTTTACAGTAACAGCACGTAAGTAAATGCAGCGGTGTCGACAGTT